AAAGTCAAGTTTTCACACTTTAAAAAAAAATCATCAACATAAAGCCATGTTTAATGCTTGTATAATGTGATGCAATAAACTTTAAAATAAATTATGCATATGAAATATTTGCTGTTTGGCATTCATGAGTTATTTTCTGTTTACCTTATTTGTTCAGCAAGCAAGCAGACCAGTCAGGTGGAAGCAAATTTAAACGCAGACCAAAAAGGGCCAAAATCTGTCACTACTTTCTCTCTGTGGATCCTTTGTGTATTCACATAGTCAAATATTGTTCCTGTTGTGTTTTTTGTTCTTTTTTTAACGTTCCTACTTGTTTTGTCTCTTGACCCTGCCAGATGCAGCATGCAGTTTGGACAGTGTGGAGTGCTCCCATGCCCATGGAATTAATCGGCTTTGAGCATCCTGCATTTCTTTGTCGGGTGAGCTTTTAGCTGGGAGAGATGAAGGATCAGGGTGCAGGAGTGTGATGGAGACACCAAGAATTATGTTGCTGCTTTTACACAGACAAGGCCCTGGCTGAGAGTCCAACTAGCAGAGGACAGTATATGATCCCAGAGAAAATATTATTCAAAGTTAATTAGTTGCTTTAATTAGTGATGCCAATTAAAACAAGAAGCATGTAGAAAAAAGTAAAGCAGAAGGAGTCACTTTGTAGCTCTGCAGCAATCATGGGAGGTTAGTTAGCAAGAAATGGGGTAGTTGCGGGGGTCATCTGCAAAGCTTAAGAATGTTTGTCTCTAAACCGCTTACAGCAAGATATTCTCCCCAGTGAAATCTCATCTTGACGTTGTGATTGTGGACCAATAGGTATCACCTGGCCCAAACTTTCACCTCATACCAAAATCAGAGTTAAATGACTGCTCAGTGTTCAAATAGTGATTTCAAGCAATAAGTGAAGGTAAGTTGGTCATTTATGTGTTTTCTCTGTTTTAAACAACTACGTGAATTCAAAGCACTGAGAAAAAAAACTCTGGTGCTACATTTCTTAACTATGATAACTGGGAAGATTAGTCTTCACTCCAGGAACAAAATAGGTAGAAGTCACAGATCATCCAAGGCAGTTTAAGGCAGTATCAATTACAGTGCAAACAGCAATCTCGGCACAGAGTGGTGCTGCAACGAAGGCCACGCTGGTGCTGTTTAACACAGCAGTG